TATATGTATATGTATACATATATGTATATATATGTATATGTATACATATATGTATATATATGTATATGTATACATATATGTATATATATGTATATATACATATGTATATATATGTATATATGTATATATTTCTGCCCTTATTGGGAAGCTCTGCTTTTCCTTTCCAGTTGAAAGCTGAATTAGACTGAACTATATAGAGTAATAATGGATAAGCCACCAGGAAAGTGACTGTGAAAATATAAAAACAAAAAGATATTTTGTCATTATGTGTGTGACATTAGTGGGTGGTTTTCTAGACTATCACTGTCAGCGCTCCAAAGAGCTCATCCTTGTAGCAGTGTCATTTCGAACACCACAGCTGACTGAGCCTGACTATGAACTCCAGAACCCTGGATGAAGCCCACTAAGATCAGCTCATACTTCTTCAGTTATGCCTCACATGGAAGCTTGAATACTGACAATAAATCATCTTTCTTTCTGCTTTGTATGAAGTGTCAGTGAGTACTTAATATCTTTTATGAACAGAAACACTACAGAGAACCGAAAACATTCATATTTGGCAACTTGCAACCAATTTATGAAAAGGTCTTTGACCACCACTGACTGCTAGAAATAGTCTACAGATCCTCTACCCTCCTCTATTATTATTATCATTCTTTACTGTAGTTCTGTTGCCATTTCATCTTTTTACTCCTCAGCAAACTCTTGCATTCTTCTTTTGCCGCATCTCGTCTGTGCCGAGTGCCACTGTGTCAGCGTAGGCATCACAATACAGGGGTGACATTTCAAGCCGACAGATTAGGGCTGCTCTCCAATTAATTTTGCTTTCCTTTGCCTGTTAAATACACAATCAAGCAAAGGCAAAATGTCAGTGAAACAAACGAGGTGCCGCCATGTGGCTGACAATTACCGCCAAGCACCTCAGAAATGCCAATATGTTAAAGTGGGAGCAGTGTGTGAGATGAATGGGGACAAACGGCAATCTTTGAGATGCCTTGTTGTTCCAACATCACTAAAACAGGCATGTCAGCGCTGCCAATGTTATCTGATCTAGTGACAGACAACATGTAGATGCAAAGGTCAAATGTTCCTCAAAGTTTTTATCCGATTATATGTTACATAGCCACTAATATCTTTATTAATCCAAATTATTTGTAGAATTAAATGAAGGGCTGCTGGTTGAAGAGAGGGAACTCGATGCATGGCGATTCAGAAAACGAAAATAGCTGAATACCAAATTATTATTATTATTATCCAAATTATTATGAAAGTTATTAAAGCTTTAAATTGCATTTTTGTACATTTTACTTTACTAACTGCTCAAACAGGATTATTATTATTAGTGGTAGTAGCAGTAGCTAGGCAGCACAGTGCTATCGTACAATGGCACTCAGATGTTCCTTGCTAATCACGTTAGCTAGTAGTAAGTGATAATGGTTGTTTATTACTGCCTAACTCTTTCCTCTAATTCATCATTTTTGAAAGTGGCATGAACATGAAACTTGGGATTTAAAAGGCTTTCTAAGAGGATTTCATGCAGCCTAAGATACTTCTTCAGAAAACTGTCTGTACTTACCCTCTCAGATAGGTGTACAACTTAGAGACTGGAGTATTACTTGAATATTAGATTGACAGTTTATATTCTGAACAACAGCGTATAAACCCTACAGGACAATATTTTTTAATATAATACTGCCCAATATGTTTTGGTTAGACTTATTCCCTCAATACTGCAGGTCAAATACTCACCACTGTGTTACAGGCAAACACAGACATAGAAAACCTTACTGATATACACATGAGTAAGCCTTGCCAATTTGTTAAAAATAAATTCAGAATAGGTATAAAAAAGAGAAAAAAATACATTGTTTTTGGGAGCATAGCACTGTAATGTTGTCCACAGATGACCCTTTGTGGAGGAGAGTGGACTACGCTGAAGGAGAATCAAATCTACTACAATGAGAGCCAACCCACGTCGGGGCTGATCAGGATTTCAAGCTGTTCCTGTTGGATAGTGATTCATTATGAGCACACCAAGTCCATCTGTTGATTCTGCTCTAAGCCATGGATGTCTCTCTGCTACATATCTCATAGGGCTAAATGTGCCAAACCTGGGTGAAACGCACCCACCTGTCTCCTCCCACCCAAGAGAGGAATGGTGGAAAACCAGTCCTGTGTACTGCTAGAGGGCTACATTGTGTTTGTCAGGTTGAGGAAACAGAAATCCTCCTCGCTTTTGCCAAAATGCACAGCAGGCCCAGCCTTTGATTGACTTGGCCCACAGTCAGCTAAATGCAATTTGTTGCATAAATGCTAAATCGATGGGTCCTTACACCAATAGAATGACACGGCAGTGTTACATGATAGTAGAGTCAAGGTTCTTCACAGCTTATGGTCATGGAGAGATGCCAAGATTCTGAAATGATTCCGAAATGCAAAATCTCTGAAATTCTTGCAAAAAAGCCCCCAAAACGCATCTATTTTATTTCTAGCTCACCTTGCAATTGAAAGCCTACATGAATATGTTTTCACAGACAAGAAATACCTGCTCACTTGGCACTTACTGACAAGGTCCATCTCTCATTGAATGAATACTGATTATATCATATTATAAAAGATCTTCTGATGATTAGACATCTCTCAGACCCACTGAAAGATGTCCGGTCACCTTATTCATCCTCAGGGTAACAATTCATATATTCCCAGATACCTTGAACAATAAGACTCTGGGCATGTCTTTTTTTACCCTGAACTTTTTTTTTTCTCTTCCCCTTTTACTGACACCAAGAAGATGAAAGGGGGAAAAGTGATAAAAATGTTTGACTACGCACTGTTTGTGTGTGTGTGTTGCACTACTGTTTGTGTACATTGTAGAAAGTGGGGGAGATGAGAGAGACCAGGACAGGGAAAGAGAATGAGACAGAGAAAGAGATGAGATTTGTGATCTCATCTGTTCACCCGGGGCCTCTCTCCAGAGCAGCCTTTTACTGTCGTCAATCATCTCCATGGAGACATCTTAAAAGTCTGATGGATGGGAGGCTTTGATGCATTTCAAACATGGCTGTGATACACGTTGGAGAGAATGTGGATGGAAGCCACTCACCTTGCGTTGGGCTTGATTACACCCCCAAGCAATAGGAAGAGTTGGGCCTCTAGTTAAAGTGCAGTAGTGTTACAGGTCACTGACAACAATAACAACTGCCAAGATTAAACATGAGTGTTTTTTCCTTTTCTTATACCTGCAGTTCACATAAACAGGTAGAAATCTGCCAGCTTGGATAAAATAATGAGTACAGAGAGGAGAAATTCCTAGTGATTACACATAAATTACTGCATGTGTTGCTGGGTAGTCATCACATTACATGAAGTTTTCTTTAATAAAGTATTAGCATGGACTTTGACTTAGAAAGAAACAGTTTTAAATGTAACAGCCATGGTTCATGGTTATTCCACATAAACTATTTTTTTTTTCAGATAATAAGACAGTCTTAAACATGTTATGTATATTGTTACCTTCAAACAAAGAGGATTGCTTGAGAAATATAGTGGAATTAATTATTATTGTAAAGGATTAGCCAATATTATGGTATTAGTATGAGCTTACTGCCACTGTAAAATTAAAATAAAAAATACAAAATGTTAAGATATTAATATTTTATTTCTGGCAGATACATACATACATTTATTTCCAGATTAGTACCCCAGTACTCTCACATTCAGCTACATGAATGCCAATGTAATATTGCTCATGTATAACCACTGTGATTTTTAGTTGAAATTTCTTTGTAATTAAGTGGTAATATCTTGTTGTTGTTGTTGTTTATATAATTCCCTCATTGTTTCCATCTTAATTTCTTACTATTAGCACATTATTATTCAACTAATAGTAAAATGCTGCTGAAATCAATTAATATGCTTACACCATACCACTTATCCAGAAAGCATGCACAGCTTCAGGGAAGTATGAGCATTAATATATTTAAATGGAAACCCTCGAAACAGAGATCTTTGCTGTATTTTTCTTTCTTTTTAAAATACTTTTGCAATTTGGAAGTTTTATGTCTTTATGCTAAGCTAAGCTGGGTTAATATTATTGGGATTTGTACAGCAGCATCAATTTTCTGCTCTAACTTTTGGGAATGTGCATATTTCCCATTATGTCTCTTTAATGGATTTAGACTGAGTACGAGTTAATTGTAAAGAATCAGTTAATGCAGTAAGGTCTGTAGGTGCAGGACAGATATGAATCCGTTATCCTTTAACGAGGCAGGAGTTTAAATGAGGTTAAATAATAATAAAGTTTAGGATTTCTCTATTTCATGTAGGTAACTGTGTGTACTGCCATATAAGCAATTGACGTTTTCAGTTCTTTGCATTCGCTTTATTTTTCCAATTTATTTGCGACAATGGCTGAAAACACTTTTCCTGTATACACAGCGGATGCGATAGTGAACTTTTATCGAACTGAAGTTCTCACTGGTCAAGAAGCAAAACACTTTAAAAAGAGCGACTTGACTCCTCATCCAAAGCCAGAAGCAGTTCAGACCTTATACATGAGAGTGCTGCATCTCCTGTATCGTTTCAGGCCCGAGTGTCACTCCATGGTTCCGCTTCTGGAGACCATTCAGTATCCAGCCTATCACGAAGGGGCAACTGCTATCATGAGTGTCTACACACGCATGCGGCAGTTTCTGCCTATGTGTTTGGTGTATGATTTTTCACTCAATGATCTGCTGGCTCCAAAAAAACAGAGGACTCTAACCATTCTGAGCGCCATCATGAACTTTCTCCACTTCAGAAAGCAGAGGATGGAGGTCGTCTTGGAGAAGGTTCAAGGGTTCAAGCGGGCAGACATGGACAGACTGCAGACGGCTTATACTAAAGGCATCAGGGAGGCAGAGAAGAAGATTGAGATGCTTACGACCATCCCACCAGAGCAACAGGCTGAGGCTGATGAGCTGGCAGCTGCTCTCTCTGAGCTACAGGCCACCACCATGCATGAATACCAGGAAGTGAATGCCAAAAACGACAGCATCACAGAGTGGAAAGCTACGATAGCAGAGAAGACCCAGAAACTGGCCCAGGTGAAGCTAGATGTCAGCAACCTGAAGGAAGACATCAGCAAACTGAAGTCTCAGATCGTGGAGTCTCCAGAGGAGCTAAAGAGCCAGATGGAGAAGATGAGGGAGAATGTGAAGAACTCTATTGAAGAAACAGACGAGCGTGTGGTGGAGCTCCAGAACATGGTGCAGGGTGTGACTCACACCGAGGCTGAGATCCAGCAGATGTGCAGCCTTCTGCAGGACCTGGAGAGCAGCATGAGCAACACCAAGCAGCGGCTGGAAGAGCGCCAGGAGCTGATGGCTCAGTATGAGAAGAAGCAGAAGGAGCTGAAGAACCTGTGCATGGAGGAAGGCCAGCTGAAGCGAGCTTTGGGCATGAAGCAGGATAAGGAGTGCAAACAGAACATCCGCAGGCAGAAGAAGAGAGAGATGAAGGAGCAGCACGTTCAGGAAGTGTTGGGGCAGTGTGACCAAATCCACCAGAAGCGTGAGGACATGGCTGACAAAATCCAAGAGATCTCCGCTGAGACGCAGAAGCTGAAGACCAGCATTAAGAGCCTGAGAGACGTGTGCAGCAAAGAGACAGAGAAAGCTTAGGCCCTCTATGACACACTGTCCACATCCATGGATGAGCTCCACAAGAGGATTGAGATGCACACCATGGACCTGAAACTCAGTCTAACCAAGATGTCTGCAAACTTCTAATCTCTCTCTTTTTTTCTTTTTTTTTTTTGAAAACCTGTATTTACTAATCTGTCGGGTGTTTTTGTTTTTTTTACTCTTGACTTTGTCTTTGAGTGTTTAAATTCTATAAATAAAGTTTGTACATTAATGAAAAAAAAAAAAAAAAAGCAATTGTTCATCTGCAGTTGGGTCTTTATTTTATTTCAAGAGTCAATTTAAACCATACAATTATGTAGATTTTTAATTATTATACTTGAGTAGGAAACAGAGCTGTAAGTCTAAAAAAAGTAAGTCTATATTACTATTCTTGAGTGATAGACTTTAATGTAATATACTGCAGTGGGATATACACACCAACAAAATGGACATGTGATGAAAAATCTATATTCTATAGGAAACACAGATGGTTTTCTGCTTGGCAGATACTACTGGTAGATGCCCTTGTCTGTTTCTCAAGAACAAGGTCTCTGTGCCTTGCATTCTCCCTTCCAGCAAACAAACAAAGCTGATGTAATCCTCAGCTTCCTTAAAGCCTGATAAGAGGGAGTCAGGGTCAGTAGGACAAAACAGAAGAAATACATTTGGTGTATCATTAGTGTCTCTCAGGCTCTGCGCAGGATTAGCTGGGCTGCTTTCATTGCAGTCTTGCCGCCAAGACCAACTTAGTACTGAACTTTGTTCCTCACCCAAAGGATGTGGAAGTAGAATTCAATATGCTCTCACCTGTTTTTCTGAGATTTTGCAGGAAGTTCAAGTCTTTTGGCTTGCAGCCTTCACAGCACTTACTTTGTCAGCATAATTTACGGCCATTAGAACTGGTAACATAACAGTCCTTCTTTTATGTTTAACTCTAGAAAAAAAATGCTTTCACTTATACCTAAGGAGGAAAAAAGACAGCAATGACGTCCCAAAGAGCATTCGGGGCTGTAGCAATACACTGTAGACATTTTAAAGTGTAGGATAAAAAAATTTAAAAAAACTTACCTCCTTTCTTGTTTTCACTCTTTGTTCTCAAAGATAGATGGCTGTCATTGATGGTGGTAGATTGCTGCTTTTTCTGAGTCTGTCAGTCACAGAAAGAAAGTTTTAGTCAGCTCCAAAGATGACATTTTACACCTGTAACTTCATGTATAAAACTGCATGATGATTCTTAAACGATATCTCTTTATCACCTATTCAGGTTGTAAATCGTGTTTTTAAAAAGTAACTAAGTAACTAAGTAATCAATAAAGTAACAGGATTACTTTTTTGAGAAAAGTTACTTGAAAAAAGTAATCAGTAATTAATTGCTGATTACTTTTTTCAAGTAACTTGACCAACACTGGTCGGTAGTGCTCAGAATTATTGGGTGCTTTTATTCGAAAACAGAGGAACAGAGTATTTTACTCACTCTAGAGATTTAGCCTCTTTCGTTTTTTTAGTCCTTATAGTGCGGCTCCTCGTGGTTTGGGAAAATAAATTAGAAGTATTTAGCTGAAGTGTATTTTATTTATGTTAGTTCTTCTTTCTTTTTTTTTAACTTGTACTTCTAAATTGGAAGATTATTGTGATATTGAAATATAAAAATAAAATTATATTATATTATTTTCTCATCGCTCAAAATAAGCATCACACTCGCGGAAGCCCGTGTACCCGCCAAAACGCCGTGCATTTATCGAGACTTTCAACCCCAGGTAGGCCAATTATGGATCTTCGGATCCACATTATGTCAGCGGCTATTCTCCACTGTGAACTATGTTAAAAACAAACACCGCTCACGCCTCACAGATGACAGCTTATAGTCCTGCGTAAAGATGAAAGTGACTTTGTACAGCCCCGATTTGCAGACGCTGTGCGCATATGGGATATGCGCAGAGGTTCAGGAACAGAAGTCCCATTGTAAACATATCATGGCAGACCCGACAATGTTTGCATGAACAAGCTTTTCAGCATCTCTTTATTGACCACTTTTCACACACGGTTGCTGTACGCATACAGCCGGCTGTAGCTTTTCAGCTCACAGCCGGACACACACCAACACAACAGCATAGATAGCACAGACGTTAAGGCGGCGAGGCGTGATTGTGGGTGCCGCTCAGGTGTGTCCGACTCCCATACAGCGGCACTGCAGACCACGCCCGCCACACACATTAACCTGGTAAAATACATATTTAGACAGAATTTTGCAAATATCTATTTTTCATTTTTCAGCAGCATAGTGCTTTTTTTCCAATTATTTTTTAAAAGTCAGGTCAAGGCTCCAAAAGCCCAAAGGCGATATAAGGGTGGCGGCTCACAACTGTTTTTGTTTGCTGGATCATTTTAGTTCAGCTGGGTATCTTTCCTTTTGTTACAGTA